ATCAAATGTCAGGCGGCACTGGGAACGGCTTTTATTGGTCATTTCATGCCCATGCCAGGTGCAGGTGTAGCCCTTCAGATCTGGATCCGTTCCCCAACCCTGCCCTTGTGTACCGAGGCAAAAAAGCAGCGTGCTGATTGTTTCCCGCACTGCAGACTTTAAAGTGCTGCGGAGTGTAATCCTGACTCCTACAGCCTTGTGAAACATTAACTGTTTCTTTAAGCGCCAGTTGCGCCGTCCAGCCTGTTCTGCACTTAATGCGAGCCCCATGCCAGCCTCAGGGTGGGGGGGTCCGCGCCGCTGGCACTGAGTTCGGAAAATGGGAACGCGTTCTGCCGGGAGAGGGAGGAATGTCAACGAAGTGGCGATCGAGTCCAAACGATGAGAGATGTCGAGGGGCTGTGGTCATGGCCCTCCACCAACCCCTGTCCCAGTAGGGCCGGGCACAAAGAAAAAAGCTTTGATGCCGTGGAAAAGATACAGCTGTGTTCATATTTGTTTAGACAGAGACCCAAAGCTTGATCTACTTTAAAGAAATAGTTCACCCATAAATGAGAATTATTTTCTCAATGCTGGTTCTGTGGAACACAAGTTAAAATTTAATTACCATTATTATTTTTTTTAACTAATACTTTTATGGTTGTTTTAGTTCATTAATACGTTAATTAAATTATGATGATAAATGATAATGATAAAATTGTAATTTTGTTGTTGTGCATATGGAACAACATGAGGGTGAGTATATATCAACTTAATTTAAATTCTTTATTAATTTTCTGTTCCATTAACAAGCTTTTATTTTAACTTAATTTAAAGTGCAAAATCCAACGTGTGGTGTTCTGTTTTCAGCAGAAGGAAAACAGTCCTCTGATCTGGTTCACAATGCTTGGCATGATGCATCTCAGTGGCTTAAAGAGTGAACCGCTCTTGTGGGGTGGCATGGAAAGGCTCTGTGAGGTGTTGACAGTGGACGTTCTGCAAGGGTCCTTGCCATGCCCAATTCCATCCTCCACGCTGCATTCACGCGGCTCATTAACATGCGATCACCTCCTGCCCGTCCGCTCCTACAGTCTTGAAGGTAGAAAAGCAGAAAGCCCAGTGCCATACATTCTGATTTACTTAATCTCTCACAGCAAACGTACTAGTAAGAAGCGTACTGTTGCAAAACGCACACGCCGTATCCACGCGAAACGTGTAAAGAAAACCGTCCGTGTCAAAAGACCACTGAACACTATTTTCTAAACCATGGCCCTATTCCACAACATGTCGGAGGAGTGTATTAAATCCGAGCTAGATTTATTAACAGTTCCTATGACCCCAGACATCAATTGAAAAAAATACTTACGTTGAAATACCACCTCTATAACGGATTCATCACCGCTAGAATTTTTTATCGCCGGGACGGATAAAGATTACATAGATCTAAATAACAAGTTATACACTAGGATCAAGATAACCACGCCCGACTGCTCTAATATAGCAGATGATGCACCTGTTGGTTTAATAAATTACCCCGAAGCGTGTATATTCTCACAGGTGGATGTTTCTCTAGGCGATCATCTGATAAGTCTCATCTTATCGCAAAATCAACAGATAAACACTCGGAAACACATCTATGATCGACAGAGCCTTCTGGAAATCGGCAGTGAGTACAAACAACAGCTTTCGCCGGTGACTACTGAGAAGCTACGAGGCCTCTGTCTGCTGCTGAAGCCGAACCCCGGGACCGCGGCCTCGCCTGCTGATGCTACCCGCACAACACGGCGTGTTGTGCGGCACGTGTGTGAGGCACACGAGCTAGCTAGGCTAAGGGCTAACCCCACTAGACCAGCGATTCCATCACTCATGCTCTCAAACGTTCGCTCAGAGCTCCAGTACGTATCCCTACAGATGTTTAATCGAAGCTCTGATCAATTTTGGAAAAGATACCCTCGAAAGTGTCTTTTCAGCCGGATTGTTCTACAGAGATACGCCGGGTAACATGGATGCTACCGACCCTGCAGGAGAGAATACAGGATTAATGAAGCGAGCGGCGTTTACCAACGCTAGTAATGTCGTAGAATTACTAGCACCCATTCATAGCGATATTTTCTTTCAGAAAATCTTGTCATCCGATATACGAATGACAAGAGCTAAAGACGAGTTCTGTCTTATGCGAGATCACGCTGTCAGTTATAAACTCAATATTGTATCAGCATCTCTTTTTGTGAAAAAAGTTTCTGTTTCACCCGGTGTTCGGTTGGGACACGCGCAGGCGTCAACTATCGTCAACTGCTAAATATGCCATAGACCGTGTGTGTCTGAAGAATTTCTCTATCCTTGGCCGTTTCAGCCGGAATATGAGAATGGATATGCTGTGAGGGACTTTTATCAACTCGTATTATCTACCGGAGGACATCTTAAAAATCAACCTCTGGCAATAGATCGACAGGATTTTCTAAACGGATACACGCTCTATGCTTTTAATTTATCACCTGATGACCCAGGTGAAAAAGACGTAGTATTAAATGTATTAACAATATACTTGAAATTCACGTTTATAATACATTTGTATTCCCAACATGCTTATTTGAAGTGCAATAAAAATATATTGAATTGCATTGTAATATATTTCTAAAAAGTATACTAGAAGTACTTTTGTATTAATATATGCTTAGTTATACTTCTAAGAAATATGCTAAACAGATGCATACTTTTAATGTATTTCTAAAAAGTATAGTAGAAATACTGTTAATAAATATATGTTTAGTTACACTTTTAAGGGATATACTAAACACAAGCATACTCTACATTTCAATTTGCACATAATATACCTGTACGTACAATTGTCGATTTGTATATTTTAATTCCTTATTTACTTACTTTTTTTTTATTATCTGTGTTTTTTTGTTCTGTCACTGTCATTCTGTTGC